CCCCAAAACCCCAAAACCCCAAAACCCCAAAACCCCAGAAATCAATAGGAATTGAAACTGATATCTAATTATTTGGTAAATCCTTAAGGTTCGTTGTCACGTGATATTTTACAATTGATTTCTGTTTTTTGTTCATTTTGAACAATTTCTGATGCACTGTAAAACTTCTTTTGTAGGCTTATAGCCAAGAATATGATGATGGAGTAGATCCCAATAAACAGGAGGTTCTGGGACTCATCTTTGTTGTAGGGTCCTATGCTAGGTTCTATTATACGCAAGATAAACAATATAACATTTAGAGGAACAAGCATCATGATGACTGTCATTGTTTTCTTTTGGAACTTTTCAAATTTTAAAGTCTTTTCGAAATCACTGCTGAAAGTTATAAGAGTTATTTTGCAGGATATTGTACTGAAAAGTGCTATTAATCCAAATATGACTCTTTTCGAACCGATATCCTTCTCAAGAACTTCTATGACAATATACTCAAATGTTTTAATAATGACCAAAACTACTAAATTAGCAAGTAGATAATTCCGTTTAAATTTCTGACATCTTTGAGCCTTTTTGAAGTTGTTGACCTTAGTTTTACAACACAGAGGGAGAATATGTGCATGCTGCTCTACAAGATACATTCAGGATACATAATAATCAGATTGCTTGCTCATCAAAGCACATGAATGTTCACCTTGTGAAAATTCTTGGCTTATCAAACTAGATCCAGTTCCCTTATCTTCGTCCATATCTTCTAAAACTTCTTGGATCTGGACAGATGATTTGAGTGAATAAGATACAATAGATTCTCTGAAATAGATAAAGGTTAGCAGCAAGCTGATTCAGATCAGCACTTCTATGATTATCAAGAAGGCCCCAGCAATTGGGTAGATCCATATTCCTCAATATAGCATGAGGATGATCAAGAAATTGTTGATCAGTAGAAATATCACTAGTCTCCTTCTGCGCTGACCGTATTGTTGTTTCCAGTGCTCCCTGATGTTCATCAAGTTGATAAATAGGGAGAATAGGAGAAATAACGTTGTAACCGTGGCTAAGAATATAAACGCTCTTGTGTTAAAGTTTGGACTTCCCATTATTTATATCATTCAGCAGAAAGATTTTTATAAGGGGTTTTGGGGTTTTGGGGTTTTGGGGTTTTGGGG